AACAAATGTGATTAGACTTGAAGAGCCTCGGATGAATACCCGTCAGCGTTGACGAGCCTCGCAAACTGAAACAGTACTGCGATTAACTGATGTGCATTTGAAATGTCCAGATTCTCAAAAAGTCAGGTGCCTCTATCCAACTACTGAATGTCATAAAATAACACAGGAAATGCCGCGGATTTGCGGAGATTAGAACACCTTTCGGTAACCTGGAGAACCTACCATCAGTGAACGAATTGTCACGATCCGCTTGAGGGCTTAATTCCACATCAGTTTACTCTTGTAGGCATTTCTATTAGCACCTGGAGGAGCCTAAAAGCACTGTCTCTGCCACGATTTTAAAATCGTGCTAGGAGACTTTAACGCCAAGGTGGGCTAAGAAGTGGTGTATGAGCACAAGACGAAGTCCGTCTAGGCAATCCTCAAAGAGTTACCCGCATAGAGGCATAAGTTACTGCTGGAAATTATTATTTTTACGATTTAGGAGATTAAAATTAGATTAAGTTTAAAGCAGTTAGTCATTATTATGCAGAAAAGTGCTCATTTAATATGGGGAGCTATACGGATAATAGGAGGAAGATGTTTCACATCAGTCGCACGTAGGATTCACACACATCTCTGAGCTGAGTTTCAGGTGGTACAAACGAAAATTTTCCCTAATAAATTTGCTATTCAATTGCAGTGCGGTACGTCCGCTGGTCCAGCGAATACTCCATACATTACGACACTGGCAGGGCCTCATTCGTAAAGTTCTCCCGCCTCAAGTGTCGCCCATTCGTCTCTTGCTCATAACTTCAAGCAACTTGTAAATTGCAACATGATTGCGGCAATTAAATGCCAAAGTGCATCCTTAATTGATATACACAAATTAATTGCGTTTTGATGTGTCTAAGGATTTATTGCCGCTGCTGCTACGGTGGTGGCCAATGCAAGGAGATGCAATGGAGAGTCACTCCAAACAAAATTATTAACGTAGCAGAGGTTTACAGCGCTGCTGCTGCTGTGACGGTAAGCATTTGGAAGCATTCTTTTGATGCAGTGCAATGGAAATGATGGGCAAATTATCGTCGTCGGGTAAACGGCAGAATGTATGCGCATGAAAAATTTAATAATGACTAAGGAAAAGGAAATGTATGATACTGTAAAGTGCTGCCGTTCCAGGAATAGCTTCGACGACCATCGTTAAGCTCCGAATTACCTAGACCCATCTATCAGTGCGTACACTTAAGCAATTTCTCATGCATACACAATATTCAATATGTAAAAGTGGTTTAAATTCATGTATGTATGTACATGCAAATATATGAACATAACTTACATTTTGTTGAATTCCTGCTTATTTGCTGTAAATATTTGCAAGCATACCAATTGAAATATTGACTCAATTCAGCTGTTGATGTTAAAAATATATGTATAAGTTATACATATTCATATAGTATAAAGAACATGTATAATCTGTATGCTTGCTTGGTATTTCAAATCAAATTCAAATCACAAAGCTTTTCAACTCAACCAAATTAAGTTAAAATACACTTTCTATGTATGTTTACAAATATACATATATGCTAAGCGTATGCATATGCTGGTATTTACTTTTGTACTGGCCAGCAAAAACGGCTTGTAAAGTAAAAATTTTTGGTTTAGGTCGAAAAGATTGAAGTGCACAAAGCTTATGGAAAAAATGGAATTGGTTTTTTAAAATGGCAGCAAACATAAAAGTTAAATAATTTTGAGCGGCTCTTATTTAAAATCAATGCGACTTTTTAGACGCACAAAGCTTGCACTTACTCTACCAAAATTGTATAAGCTTGTCAACTGCACACCCAAAAAAATTTCTAAAGATTCTGGGTATAAGGCTCGAAATTTTGATAAACATTTTTGGGATTTTTCTAAATTCTGTAGTTTTTGTTAAAGCGTGAACCATATTTTTATATAAAAATATCGAAAAAAATTAGCTTAAAAAACATTGTAAATATTAAAAACGAAACACCATTCATCTCTTTTTGTCCACCACTGTACACTTGTGCACTTGTCAAATAAGTTTAAATTGTCTACACAAAGAAAAAATTAACATGCTTTTTTTTAAACAGCGTAATTTTCGGGGTTTCCATTTTAGCGATTTGATAATTTTGAACAGAAAATGTATTTTATAAAGCATTTGCACATTATCATAGTTTACAGCTCATTCGTAATTCATAAATAAATCAAGTAATTTCACCACGTAAAATTTGTCAATAAATGCGATATTCGCGAAAATTAAACCAGTTTCAAAAATTTGCGATCACAATTTTAAATTTTTTAATCAGATTTTTTAGAAAAGTTTTGGGCATGCATTTTCATAGCCAATTCAATTTCAATATAATAAGGTGCAAATTCGAAGTTGTGCATTTTCTCGATATAAAAATACGAATATTTTAGAACATTAGTATTTTGTGTGGATGAAAATGCGAAACATCTCCAACTAAAAAAAAATCACAAAAATCAACGCGAATTTTTAGGTACTTCAAACGTTCACTTTTTGTACTGAAATTGAATGAGATACAAAACTTCATACCCTGGGGCTTGGAGAATTCGTCGACTCATGGCATATGCACAGCATAGTATATACTACTTTCGACAAATCATCCATCTTAGGCTAAATGGCATATAAATAAGCATACATACATACATACATATGTATGTCTGGAGAATTTTAATGAAGAAATTTTAGTCTACACTTTAGCCTTGCTATCCATTATTTCAGCCAATGGCGCCTGCTGTCTTCGGTTTCATTTTAAAGAACTCCTTGCGAAAATGATTTATGCTGCCGCAAATTACTCGTGAAGATGACTGACATATTTTTTCACATAAAATGTGCAAATCATTTTATTTAATTTTGTTTTTGACCGAGTTTGCAAATTGTTTCGTTATTAATTGCAAGACAGATATGATTCTATGTTTGCCGGTCCGACATGGCGTATGCGTAATGTGTTAAGTAACTTCGTTAGTCTGCGCTTAATTAACTTTGACGGGCAACAAGCGCCATTTACAAGCACATTGTATGTACATTTAATAGCTTATAGTAAATAAAAAGTTATATTTTTCAGTTTTACAGTATGGATTAATGCAATATTTCGTATTAAAAGGAATCAGTGTTCTCGATAAAAATATTAAAAATCAACGCGATTTGCTTGCATATTCAATTTCTGAAAAGTTTGAAATTTTTCTTGTAAAATTTAATGAGCTATAAAATTGAAACCATAAAGCTTTTATAAAATTTCTAAATAAAAAATTAGATTTTGGTACAATTTTTTGATTTTTTTTAACTTTTGTACAAAATTTGAAATGTGGATTTATATGTTGATTGTTATAAATGGGCTAGACTTTTATAAAAAATATATTATATATCGAATAAACAAAAGAAATATGTATAGCCAAAACGGGTCGAAATAAAAAGATTATTTATTTCTTCCACCACTGTACGTACAAGAGCGAAAAATCTTGAAATTTTTAATAGGAAGGCTATAACATACCATGCTGGACAGAACTTTCCACAGTTGTCACTCCAACTTTGACACATTCTTTATTGCCAGAACTGAACTAGCAACGTGGAACTCAAAAATGTAAGATTGATATTTTTTGAATAAAAGCTCGCCTAGGATAGGTTAGGTTAGGTTATGGTGGCAGACCCACGAAGGGAACTCACTTAGACGTTTAGTTGCCCATTGTGATACCACATTACACAAACTCTTAGAACGGTAAAACTAAGAGAAGCGCTGGGTGCTCACAACAATGTTCCGCAGACAGCTGATGTCCACTCCGGAGAGATCCTCGGGAGTGTTGAAGATATGCGCACCGAGGAGCTTAATCTAGCGAATTCCTAATGCCGGACAGTTGAGGAGGAAGTGCTTAGATGATTCCACCTCGTCTTCCAGACAGCTGCGGCAGTAGGGATCTGTGACAATCCTCCGTCGCACCTCGTGGGTTCCTATAGGACAATGTCCGGTCAGTACACCTGTAAGAATCCAGAGATGGCGCTTAGCCAGCTGCAGTAGCTCCCTTGACCGCCCACGGTTCGCATCCGGTCAGAAGGACCTTGCACCTTTGCAAGTCGGGGTTTTTTTCCAGCGCCCGCTATGCCGACAGTAAATGGCCGAAAATTTTTCTGCCTAATTATGTACACTGCTGGAACAAAGTATTGGCACAGCAAATTTTTCACAATATATGCAACAATTTTTATTGTAATATTTTTCCGCCAATTTTGTATAAAAATATGGTTCATTCAACAACAAAAAAATAAAAACAAAATTCCTAAACTTTGTGCAAAACTCGCGAAAATTCAGCAAATTTTTATCAGAATTTTCAACTTTTTAATCAGACTTTTTAGAATTGTTTGAGTATGCAGTTTTGCAGCCCATTAAATTCTAGTAAAAAAAATGCAAGTTCGGAGTTAGTCAAAAATCGCGTTGATTTTTGAGAATTTTTTTGTTGAAGGTTTTTGCATTTTTTTCCATATAAAGTATTTTCGAAAAAAAATGTTTGCATAGAGAGACTGCGTGAAAAAAAAACTTCCCAAAATCAACGGTAATTCCTATCTGCTGAAAACTTGCACTTTATTGTAATGAAATTGATTGGGCTATAAATCTGCATACTCCAAAAAAATTCTAAAAAATCTGATTAAAAAGTTGAACATTTTCATGAAAATGTGATAAATTTTCGCAAGTTTTGCACAAAGTTTAGGAATTATACTTTTATGTTTTTTCTTGTTGAATGAACTATATTTTTATACGAAATTAGCGGAAAATTATTAGAATGAAAATTGTTGCATATATTGTAAAAGATTTGCTGTGCCAATACTTTGTTCCGGCAGTGTATGTCTTTTCGGAGTATGAAGTTATTTATTTATTTATTTTATTTATATTTTTTAGAATAGAATTTTTTCCTCAGCTTTAATATTATAATATTATTTGTATAATATTCCACAATTTTAACTCTTTCTTTTTTCTTTTTTTACATTTCAGAGCCTGTTCGACGCTTCACCTCGCGCCGCAAATCCGTCTTTGCCGAAGCCTATGATCCAGAAAATGATGCCGATGATGACGAGGCCGAACGCAAGGTCTATCCTAAATCAGATGAGCAGCGTGCTCGTCTAACCGAATCGGTGAAAAATGTATTGTTATTCCGTTCGCTAGATGATGAACAGGTGAGTTCGCAACTATTGTACTTTGCGGTTTTTCCTTTCTTTTTCTACCACTCCACCAAGATAGGAAGCGGGTTGGTAACAAATGAATTCGAAATGAAAGCTTTTTCCGTTCTTAAGGACTCTTGAAACGTTGCCTCTAACTCTTCGTGCTCGCTCAGATGAAGCCAAGTGGGAGAAAGGGTAATAATGTTTCCCAGAATATTGCTAACTGTGGTGGAGAAAGATAGGATATGAAGCTTAGAAGAGGATGGGAAGGAATGTGCACAGAACGGTGTACATAGAATATCCTATCGAACGCATCCTCATCGAAGTTTCCTGCAATGTCACTATGATCTGGTTTGCATTTAAGTCTGACTAGGAAATAATCAGACGCCACTGAAAAAGAGTTCAATGCCCTGATTGCTACGCGCGGCTATCAGTGTACACCACGATGATCTGGAAACCTAAATTTAAAATTGAAAGAAAGCTCTCTATGAAAGAGCCAACAATCACCAACTCTTCCGTCAAGCTTCGACCCCTTCATTCACTGATGCCTTGTTCCCATCTTCTAAAGCAAGGATAGTAAACGGCATTTTCTTTGAGCCTGTTCAATCCAATCCATTTCCAGCAAATTCAATTGAATCCAACTATTAATTTTGCCGATATTATTTTTGCATAAAATTTTTCTAATATTTTTTTCCTACAGTTGACAGTAAATAAAAAAAAAAAATAGCACAGTTTTGTAAACAAAAGAAATACTTTTCCGTATTCATTTTTAAATAGGCCAATACTTACCATTCTGCTTAACGTGCCTTTTATAGTAAATTGCACGCTACTTACATTTTCGTATTTGCTGAGCGGAGCGTGCTGCTGCAAGTAAATTGTATTTATTATTTTCCAAATCCAAGCAGCGTTGCAGTGCAAATATAAAACACAAACAAACTAAAAATAAATATAAAAATGTGTAAATACGATACCAGGTAGGTAGGGCGCATCGATAGTAAAATGCAAAAGTAAACCTGCATAGCAATTCAAATGCATGCAAACCATTTTAATTTTGCATGTTCCCTACAATAAAATTTTCTGGAAAAAAAGTTTGCTAAATATAGTTTTCAATTTTTTGTATTCGTATTTATAAATAAAACTCGAATTTTTTTGTAGTAGGTATACAATTAACCCCTTCTTACATATATGGAACGTGCAATTATTGCTCAAAGCACAAATACCATCTGTATGCAGACGGAACAAAATAAACGCACACAACGCGAGTGGCACATCTGCTGCTGCTATTTCTTTCTAAATGAAAAAAAAAAAACAAAACTTATTGACTCAAAAATAAATAATTTTTCCACACATGCTGCATTTTGCGCAAAATCCATGAATTCCATTTCTGCATTCTATAAATTTTTAATTGTTTCTTTTTTTGCTTTACTCCAACATTTGTACATCATTTCGCACTATAAAATGATAATCACTTGCACTGCCAGCTGGCGTTGTTTGTGCTAAAGTCAAATACACTTATTGGCATATTTCATTTTATTTTGAAAAAACATACATTGCCATTCAATTGTTTTATTTCATTTGCAGATGAATCAAGTATTGGACGCCATGTTCGAAAAACGAGTGCAACCAGACGAATACATCATACGCCAGGGTGATGATGGTGATAATTTTTATGTTATTGAGTCGTGAGTATCTCAATTCAATTTCCGTTTATTTTACATAAAGCATTTTTATATGTATTTTTTTTTTTATGTGTATGCGCATATGTATGTACATAAACATTAGACTGCATCACCAAAAAAAAAAGTTGCGGTTTTTCCACCGGCATTACAAGATTTATTATATTTTAAGACGTCCACCAAAAAATATTTCGGAAAAATATTAAGATTTAAGTGAGCTGAACCGATTTGAAAATACCTCCAAAAATGGAGTTTTTTTATGAATAAAAATAGTTTTCGTAAAGAACTTTTTGAAAACAGTCCCCTCAGATGACAACAGATTAAGCTTAAAAAATCTGGATAAAAATATTTAAAAAATTTTTGAAAGGAATGAGATTTTTGATGCTGTTTTTTTTTACTTTCTTTCAAAGATTGATTTACGAAAATCTTGAATAACTGGGCCGAAACTATTCTGATTTAGACTTATGGGCTCTCAGTAGAAAGGTATTTTCACACTGTTTTTATTTCTGTCCAAAAGGAGTTATTCGTGTACCATTTTTTCTTTTTTCAAATACCAACACATCTTAATTGAACTTTGAATGATGTGCGTTCATCCTACCTTTCTCTTTCATCCTTTGAATGAGTCTATTAGCAAAAAAAAAATAAAAAGGGTGAGAAAATACCTTTCCAATGACACCTCTTAAGTTTAAGTCGGAAAAGTTTAGGTTCAGTTATTCTAGTTTTTCTAATACCAATCTTTGAAAAAGGTTAAAAAACAGCATTAAAAATCTCATTATTACAATTCCGTTCAAATTTTTTAAAATTTTTTTTTTTAATATTTTTATGCAAATTTTTTAAGCTTAAACCGTTTTGTCATTTGAGTTGATTCTTTAAAAAAAAAATCTTTAAGAAACTATTTTTATTCATAAAAAAACTCCATTTTTAGAGGTATTTTCAAATCGTAAATCTTAATATTTTTCCGAAATATTTATTTTGGTGGACGTCTTAAAATATAATTTATTTTATAATTCCAATGGAAAAATAGTAACGATTCCATTTTTTTATGGGGAGTGATACAGTCTAATATACATATGCACATGCAAGCAAAAAAAAAATCGCCGTACACCCCTGAGTTTCAAAACTATTTCGAAAAAAATTTCGGGCGGAACATTCGACAATAATATACCCCGCCCATTAGCGGTAGCCCGAGGAAGCGTGCAGCCTTGACGGGGTGTGTCCATAGGGACAGGGGCGTTAGAGAGCAGGGCTAGAACGTGGTGATTGAGGTGAATGAATTTTGGAACTAACAAATTACATTCTCGAGAAAAGAACATCGATATATCAGATTTAAAGATCTGAGTATATATGCCGAAGAAATTGCCTTGCAAAAATACTTTAGACTAGACTTTTTAGAACTTAAGAAATGGCATGGTCCAATGTGCATGTATATGTACATTAGGATGGCCCTTAGTTATATGGAATACATGGGAAACTTTGAGCGCTTTGAGCCACCTCTCAATCTTTTTTGATTGCCCTAAAACTTAATATAGGTTAGTCTTTAGGCTATTCACACATTTCTAGGGGATGATACTGAGAATCCGAGCGCTTTTCGAAATAAGGGCCACCCTAATGTACATATGTATGTATGAATGCAGGTAGAGACAAAGCACCGAGTGCACATTTCCGCAGGTAACGCATTCATTTGTACGTGGTTAGATCAGGAATAAATATTTTTGTTGGAAATTATGAATGGTTTTCTAACTTGATTGATGTTATTTTCTATTTAGCTGCATTTGATGGCTGTTATGGCTCGAAATTGTGAATTGTATTAAATGTGTGTTAAAAAAGCTTTGAATGATAGGAGTATAGGCATAACACGGCAAACACTAAATTTTGAACTTTTCACAGTTTAGCACAGTTATATTTTAAGCAATTTCTGAACTTGATATAAATGTATATTAAAGTTGAAGATTAAGTTGCTCAAGTCTGCACTTGGTCGTTGTATGGGTGCCTAGGCGAAGGGTATTTTTTTATGCAATCTCCTTTCACTGCACGGGACTGCAAGGTTATCAATGTCTAATACTATGTATATACAACCATGAGGAAATGCAAATTTTAAAGCAAACTTACTAAAATTTAACTAAATGCGACTCCAGCGCCACCTATCGAAAAAATTGTTTATGAAGTTATTACTTTTCATGCAAGTAATATAGGTTTTAAATATGAACCAAATGGGCTTTTTTTAATATCTCGACTCCTGCGCCACCTATCGAGTTAATTCGTCATTGCCTTGTCATCGGGTCTGGAGTTTCAAGTCTCTACGTCAGTGGTCGACGATCCATAGCTCAGTGATCGCTCTCTGAGCACATGTGTGTTTCACACGTATACGAAGAGCGGCAGCTGAGCAGTGCATTGAATGTGTTAGTATGCCGACCACTGCTCTAGGTCATCGGAACGTTGGTCAAAAATTGATTGCAAGATTAGACGCAAACAAACAAACTTACATCCTTAAGCTTGTAAAAAAGACATGTATTTTTTTTTTGTATTTGAACTATTGCTACCAACTTATATTATGAATTCGCCTTGATGGATACTTTCATCTCCT